GATTCTGTGGAATTGCAGGAGGTTTCATCGTGGGTCACGGTCAAACTGGTTTCTGAAACTCAGTTTGGCACCAAGTCCTCCAAAAGTAATCAACATGGTTGGGCTTGATTTACTGGAAAACCTATGTCTTGCAGCAAATTGTGATTGCTATGTGGTGCTATGTGCGCCACGAGAGTCAAACATCGAGTCACCAGTAATGCTAGGAGCTACTAGTAGCCATTTGCTACCTCGCAAAGCACTGCGGGCGCTTGAATGTCGATTGCAAAGGTCAAACAGTGCCAATGCTAGCAAAACTGCGGTGAAACAAAGAAATGGCGGTTGCGGATTCTGGGCGAAGAAATAAGGACCTAAAAGGGCTGGATTCTGGATTAGTTGTACTCAGGTCATAACTCAGAAGTAATGAAGGGCTTTGGACAGGTCGTGTCCCTCTCATGGACCATACAGAATACCGTGCAGTTGGACATACCCCTTCTTCGAACCATTTAAAGGTCATAAGTCATAACCCCTGCAGTGAGACTTGCCGCAATGCTTCGAGGTATCGGGCAGGAACACGAAATCACTTTGGCCGAGTGAACGGAGACAATGAGGGCCATGCAGTGACATACGACGGAAGGCGCCTGCAAAAAACAAGTGTGCTGAGACTATCTGACCTCTTCCAGGCATAGAGTGTTCCAAACTTTGAAGGTCAATAGTGAGCAATATACGGCAAAGCAGCATGACAATCTCAAGTCCAGGTAATCCTAAGTTATATTCCTGCATCTTTGCATCCATTTTCAATCGCTTCCTTTTTCTAGGCTGGTGGGGCAGAGCCTTGGCGCTGGCTTTCGCGGCGTTTGGCGCATCCGAAACCGTGGGACCAACAGCTGCTTGGAAACATCGCTTTCATCACTGAATTCTGAATGCTTACGTTCGGCCAGCAAGCCTGACGCAATGGCAGCTGAGGCGATGGTGTGTTCCACTTATGGCCAGCAATGGAAACCTGGGCCTCCGCTCCACCGCTGTTGGAGCCCACCAGGGAGGTCTTCCAAGTCGCAGAGGACAGAAAAATGAGTGTATTATGTCACAATGTCTTGACGATTTGAAACGGAACTTTGCAGAGACCTTTTCTGAAGTTTCAGAGTAGGCGTTCTTAGTGCTTACTGTCGTTTTGTTCTGCTGAAACTACAATTATTCCAGGATGGAGAATGTGTAGTTTGCATGGACCAGCCGATTTCAACATGCTTGCGTCCTTGTGGTCATATTGCATTGTGTTCCAAATGTCTGGACCTGAGAATGAAGTGCATTTAGCATTTCCTTGGCTTTAAGTAAGCAAACATGATCCATACTGAAACTGCATGCTCACAAAAAAGCACCTTTCACCAGGTGCTGCTCGATTGAGACAATCCAGACCAGCTGCGTGTCCCATTTGCCGTTCGCAGATTGAGAGCTTGCCTTAGCTTGCATGACCAAAGGAGTTTAGCTACGAGGAATATCAGATTGCCTGCCACGTTTTGTACCCGGTGACTTCAGGTCCGTGCTCACAACAAACGAAGTTGGCCCAAGTGCGGTTCAAGCTTCTTGCCCTGGATTTCCGTGTGTTCATTCGCACATAGATGGACGAGGAAGTCACAGGTTCAGGAGAAAACAGGCTGGAGCGAATGTACAGTGACTGGAGATGCATGCATGATTCCATGATACACAAATTGTATGACGGGGAACATCACGACGTCTTCTTTGGAGGTCCAGTTTGGCTGCTGCTCTGAACAACTCTCGGTGCCCCCCCGTGTGGGTGCATATTGCTGAATTCATTTGTCCATATGCTTCCATATGTTTTATATTGGAGGGACCCAATTTTGTGAAGGCTTGGTTTGTGCAAGTACCCTGCATATTTTTGGGTGAAGCTTCCACCCAGGATATGCTGAAAGATTGTCTTGATTCTTCAATGTATAGTTTTAAACTATTGAGCTGGATGAAGCACATCATACCTGTCATACCTCGAAGGTCGGTCCTGTTCGGCTGTGACTTGATATGACTTGTTCAACCATGTTGCTTTTGATTTTTGCTATTTGAGGCCTTGCACATCTCGCACTGAGCGTCGCAATATGTTGTAATGCTAGTTCTGTTGCTTGATCTTCATTGTCACCGTGCAAAGCATGGGCAATGAGCAAAGCTGGCTCTTGTACAGGCAGGGTCAGCTCAATCCTGTAGCCTGTAGGGTCAATCCACTTCGACTTCCCAGCACTTGGCTGGGAAGGAAGAATACTTCGGAAGAAAGGGACAGCAAAAGTAAGGCTTTGGGTCTTAAAGGTGCAGGCAGAAGAAGCACAGGAGCAGCTGGACGTAGTTGGACCTTCTTTGGAGTTGAGCACTCAAGGTCCAAGAAGGGTCCGCTGTCACTGAAACCGCTGAGTAGTGCAACCGGCTTGTTTGGAGAGCAGACTTTCCCCGTGCATGTCGGTGCTTGTCTTTTGTTTTGTCATTGTCATGTGCACGATTGTGCCTGTTGAGGTTGGTTTCCCGACATCATTGCGCGTGTCGCGTTCTTCCAGAATTGGAATGAGTCTCTCGATGAACATGTGGTCTGCACAGCATGATTGCCCACTTTTGCATTCAATTGCAGAGTGTGGATTTTGAAGTCAATCATCTATTTGCACCTGAGTTTGGGCAAGACTCCTCCGGTGCATTGGATCAGCGGTATATTCTTTCCACAGGCAGAGTGGGTTCTCATGTCTTGCAATGCGGTACGCTTTGGACCATCCGCTTCCATAAAGCAAGAGACCGTGGCCTGAGCCTTGCGATGCACAATTGCAGGCCTTCTTTACTGGAGCGATGCAAAATTATGCTCGGAAGCATGAAGAAGAGATCGACCTACTTTCCTTCTCACAGAAGGCCTGCCTAGCCTTTGCTTTCATGTGGCTTAGTACACCGTACTTTGTCAGGTCATGGACAACGTCACTAACCCTAAGAAGGAGTTTGCGAGCTAATCGTGTGGCTTCTTCCATCAATCAGCTGTTGGAGTGGGTCATATGGATAACTACTAAGCAGGCTGATTTATATGCATGTTATCATGTTGTGATCTTGCCATCCGTTTTTGTAATTCATCCATCAGTCACTTGCATTAGAAATTTGAGGGCATCGGACATCAAACAAATGCCCTCAGGAGCTGACATCGCCCCCCCGAGGCTGGCCGTCTGTTTCTGCACATCGACTTGTTCTCAAAGATGTATGTTCAACTGCTGAATGCTCTCGTTGAAGGATGGAGTCTACATCTACGGTTTGTTCATCGAAGGTCGGAGAAGTTGTGGTGATTCTTTAGCAAGGACGCTATTAGGTGGATTACTACATTAGTTACTACATGATTCTTCATGATTCTTTGTCCGTCAGGTGCACGCTGGGACACGGGCACCCACATGGTGCCCCGAAGCGTCAAAGACGGTCAAAAGGTATGAAAGAGTTTCAGAGGGCAGAATGGACGGATGGACGGTGTGGCAGCCATAGTGCTCAGCCATTCCAGCCGCAATACTGCTTTTACCAGTACCTGACAAGATAAGTCCAATTGTGGTCGAACAGGAAAACTGGAGCAGGTACAGGACTCTCAGCCGAAGGTGCTCTTCACTGAGTTGCCCTTACTGTGGTTCCTTCCAGTCAAGGAGAGCGCCCATGAGCGGCCTTTATAAAGAAATGACAGCGTGATACAGCGTGCACCAATCCATTTAATTCTTTGTTCAGTCTTTGTTCTATGAAAACATGGACGTGTGTCAGGACCGCAAGCCCAATCCCAAGGACTACCGATGTCCAACCTACAAGGTGCCTAGCTCATCCTACCGATGACAGCTTCTTCGGTTTCGACATCTTTGTGACATGGTGTTCTTCAGGTTCTCAGCCGAAAGGGCACGCTTCTCACCACAGGGCACTCGACCAATTTCGTCCTTTACCTGGAGCTTCCAACTGACCAGGCAGGTTTGTGAAATCAATGTGCTGGTTCCTGTTTGTTGTTCTTGCTTTTTTCTCCGTATGGTTTGCTCGGCAACTTGCAGGCTGTATCGAAATGGATCAAAGCAGGGGTGGCTTCATTCCTTGCTTTGATCCTTGGCACTGTCGACAAAGCTCGACGCAACAATGCAAGAATGACAAGCGATTACGCTCACACTTATAATTTTTAATCACTTATGTTTTTATTTTTTTGGTTTGAGTTCCTCTCCTTGCTATGTTTATCTCTGCTCAGGAAACATTGACCGGTGCATACTTCACCGCAGCAATTGGGAGAGCAATCACACTTGACGCACGAGTGAGCATTAGAAAGTAGAGCATGAACACCAAGTGAGAAGATGGAGCAGTATAATCTTTTGTATGCCTGCGTTACTATACAGTGTCACAGTTCAGATGCATGCTGTTTGTGTTTGGAGGTTTCTCATTACCATTACCTTCTTTGAAGGTCTTATTGTTTGACCTAGGGGTCATGCAAAAACTCCGACAAGGCTCAAAGAGCGTTGTTGGGATGTGCCATGCTGCAGTTCATTCATGAATTCGCTTCTTACGTCTAGAAGATCTATTCTATAGCACATGTTCAGACAGGATGGCAAGTTAACGATTTGCCCAAGCACCTATCCGAAACTTGGGGGTGCGGCTAACCAAATGCATTTTCAACATGCATGAAAAAGATTGAAAGAGAAGGTAACTGGAAGTTTGAACTGATGAAGGTCTTGTTTGCTGTCATTTTTCTTTTGCTTGACGCGATTTGCGTATATTCTTGCCTGAGCCGAACTTTCCTTGACCACTGGATTGATGGCTCCCAGCTACGGATCAGCCAGCAAATACTTTCGACTGCATGAGAAGCAGATTGGTACTGTAGATGATATGAAATCTTATGGTGAGCATTCTGATCAATTGGATCATGATGTAGCATAGCAACATTGGATAGATGTTGTTAAGACATGCACCCGACTGTGAGTATAGAAATGTAGAATCTGAGGCGCCAGTTTGCGGGCATTGCAGCTTGCGAATGAATAGCCAAAACAGAGCTGCACCTGCTTGAGCACAAACCGACTTGGCCATGGGAGTGCAGACGCTGAAGCACCGACGAGAGGCAGCCGGGAGGCCTTTTGTGAATGCTGCGCAGATCATTTCAGTTGTTGGAATCTCTCAAGATCTCTTGTTGCCGCCACCAAAACTCACTCACATATAAACCTGCAAGCTGCTATCCATCAGTGCCCTCCTCTCGTTGCAGGCGCGTGATTCCAGCTGGCCACTCCAAACGGACTTTGGCTGTGCTGCGGCGCCATGGAGTGATGAGGCACAAGTTGCGGTTTAGCAGATCATGTTATGTTCGGATACTTAAGTCACAATGTGTCCAACGATACCATATAGACCAGGCGTGGAGTACGAAAAAACAAAGCTTTGCATAGCATTGCCACTTAGAACGCACACCTATTCTCCATGCCATCCATGCAATCGCTTGGCTCATGTAAGCAGAAACTGGAGTCTGAAGCCATGAGCTTTGAGAAGACGAATCAGCAGGAGATTGGATAGTGTTTGGGTAGGCCTGCTCTTGGCCCGGCCCGCTTCTTCGGAGGCCAAGCGATCGACAACTGCGGCAATGTGAGTTGTGTCAGAAACAACGACGAATTGGTCGATGGTGGTCAATGTCCTCAGTGTTTACGTTGTCCTATCTCATTGACTCTTAGTCTCAGTCTTGTTAGATGCAATACAAAGCCACGCTGATAACACTGCTTTTTGAGTTACGTATTCCAGTGTCCCAGTGAGGTGGCCACCGAGACAGCTTGTACAAGGTTGGTTTTTCTTTAGTTACACCATGATGATTCAAACGTGTTCCCACCATGCCAGCTGGAGCAGCAAGTTCTGATGCTGGCATTGTTTGGTGCTCGGGGAGCATTGTTTGGTGATCCGGTGACATCAGTGACTGGCAGGGACCTGAAATGGTTCACCAAGGCAGGCTCAGCTGCCTTGCAGGCTGCTCCTCCAGGCGTCAAGGTGCCACCTTTGGCGATTCGGAACGTGTAGTGCCCTGACCATTTGTCATATTTTGTCATTGTTTTTTCATGTTTTGTTTTAATTTGTTTTGGTGGCAGATGATGCTCATACCCTTCAATGTGCTTGTGGTTGTTGCCTTTGATGAATTGTTATGTTGTTGCCTTCAGAACGAAACAGTCCTGTCTTAGTGACTCTAGTGCACACAGTTTTCATCACGTTTCCATCGAAGGGATATTGGAAATATTGCTTGTGGTGCTGCCGGCCTTGTTGGGACAATTGGTTAGTTTGCTACCCAGTGCGCAAGATGCGACAAGGCGTAACAATTCCATGCTTGGTGATACAGCCACTGAATGCCACTGATATTTGGATAAAGTATGATAGATCATTGTCAGAAAGAATTAAGATGACATGAACAAAGGAAGGGGTAAGCCCCCTATTAACCTTCCTTTTTCTTGTTTTGTTTCTTTGTTCTGAAGACAATGCTCGCAATATGCTGCAATTAAGGTCCAATACAAGCAATGGTTTCATGATGACAACTGGAGCCCGGCCAAGCTCAATTCTGGTGTGTCAGAGGAGCCCATGGGCAAGAAAACAGTGTATGCAACGTTTCACCTCTTCAGTATTTCGTTGTTGCAAAAGCGGAGAGTGCAAAAACAGAAGTCCTTGTCAGGAGTCTTTGTCATCAAGCTCCTCCAGAGGTCGTGTATGGTCATGCCATGCTGGTCGAACTTGCAAAAGATCATGTGTCTCGAGGTGAAAAGCGGAAGAGCTCTCAAAGTGTCCCCAAGACAGGTGCTCAATGATGCTCACCATCAAGTGAATCTGAATTGTGTAAGAAAAAACATGAAACAAACTAATGTAATATTAAAGCACTGAATGGAATGATTCCAACATCAAATTCGAAGGAGACACTTGACTTGAGTATTTTCTTTTGGGCCCAGACGCCAGGGGAGGTCTTCCACTATGACTTTATTGAGATTGGAACGTCCAACTACCACACGTTTACGCAGGCCCCACAACATGAGAATGGCAATGGATTGTGTTTAATTTTGTATTTACAAGATGCAGGCAGGTAGAGCATATTACACTTGCTACCCCCTCCCACAAAACACCCTTTCGCATCCTTTTGCGAGGTTCAAGGATTAATTTGTAGTCCCGAGTACTTGTACCTGCCATTATATAGCGCACCATGTAGCAAACCACTAAAAACACAAAACTGCATGTAGCATGACCAAAGCAGAAAACTGCATAAACCACTATCACTACATGAATGTTGCCTTTGATCTTTAACTACTGCCTTTGCATTCAATACTAGACTAGAATGCCCTGAAAGCTATTTAGGTGTAGTTTCTTCATGATTTTTCACTAGGTACCCGCACACCGCTACCCCACCTGTGGCTCGTGCACAGCTGGCCGTGCCACACTTGTGATTGACACCAATCATGCCACTCACCAGCGGCCCACCTCATTTTCACGGGCATGTTAGGCACTGCGACATCACGGTTCGATGCCCTTTGTTCCAAGTAGCGTTCTTGCTCCTAGTAGTACGGCCAGGAGCCTCTAGTAGCGTCCTTGCTCCTAGTAGCGATGCCCTTTGCTCCTAGTAGCGTCAAAATACCTCAAACCCTTTCCGAACTAAATCTTATGTTCGGGATGTGTAATACAAAACATGTCAAGCGGATTGAGTGGCCCCTGTCCTGACAATGTACTTGACAAATCTTCACAACTGATTGGTGTGGCCTCAAGCTCTTTTTAAATACCCCCATTCTTGGACATTGCCTTTTCCTTTTTATTCTAGTTCGTACTACCTCTAGTTGGCTCCTCCTCTTCTTATTCACTTTCCGCCCTGCTGTTGCAATTGATATCCTCATTTCCTCTTCTCTCTCGACAAGCTCTTCCCTAATCTAAAAGATCCAGCCAGTCTTTTGTGTCTATTTTTGACTCAATCTTTCTCTTTATGTTCTTGAAGACTACTGAGAGCGAACAATTGATGCGTCAAGCACGAATAACAGGGTTCCTAGCAATCGAAACTCAATTATTGCAAGGACAAAGCAGCATGTCTTTTTCCGGCCAAGTTCTGGAAAGACTTGCCCAAGTTTTTAGGATTGTAGAAACACAGATGCTTTGGCAAACGCTTTCCTGCGCGCCCCCCAACAGAGAATAAGCCTCGAAGGTGCGAGCGGAATAAACCTTGTAGTGCAAAGTGAAAGATGCAAGCAAAAGAAGGGTACAGACCTGATGAAAAACGACAAGTGGAGAATGAAAAACGACAAGTGGAGACACTAGTAGAAGAGACCCATGAGAAAACAACTATATGTACCACATCGTGAACCTAGGTTGCTTAATGAACTCGTCACATAATGGGTTATGAGGCCCTGGCCAGTGCGCACACGCACTGAAAAAAATGAACAAATGGTAAGAAGGTAGAAACTGAGAGAAAGTGTCATAATCCCTCAGTGCACATGTTGAATCTCATCACGAATCAAAACAACCGCCACGTACATAGGAACCATAGGAGCAGTGTAGCCACAAAGGCCCGTGCCGGTGCCAAGAATGCAGAAACCACACACGCAGAGCACCACCAACAAGCAAGTTTCGAACAGGAACCAAAGGTACAGCATGCACAGTTTCCTCGACCTGTACTGTCACGGGGGAGTTCAGCAACTTCCAACGATTTTAGCCAGGGCTGTACTAGATCGCCCCCCAATAAGGAAGACGCCAAAATTTGTCAAACTATCATGGCAAGAGACCCCGAACAGTGTGTCTAAAGGTCTAAGGTCTGGAGGTGTAGAAGCAGACTGTCTAGAGATCTAGACGCACTGGGCTCCAAAGAGAGGTGATTGTGATGGTGGTGATGATGATGTTGGTGGTGATGATGGAGGTGGTGATGGAGGTGGTGATGGTGGTGGCGAGGGTGATGATGGTGGTGGAGATGGTGGCGGTAATGATCATGGTGATGGTAGTGATGATGATGTTGATGGTGGTGATGATGGTGCTGATGGTTGTGATGATGTTGGTGGTGGTAATCATGGTGGTGATGGTGGTGGCGATGGTTGTGGTGATGGTGGACAAAGTATTGCGCCTGCCACAAAATCTGCATCTCAAGGTCCACAAGGCACTGCCCTTCCCACGAAATCTGCACTTCAAGGTCCACAAAGTACTGCGGCTGCCACGAAATCTGCGCATCAAGAATCGCATCGCGCAGCCCTGCCAAGGCGATTCGCAGCAAGAGCACTTCCAAAGACAAAATCAAGATGCCAAATACGCAGCTTTCACTCAAGACTTCCTCCGATATCTGAAAACGAGCCGCATGTCCAAAAGTCACGATTCACTGCCCCTGGAACGAAAACAGAGCACGCCTAAGGCCATCACCATGTCCATTACCACATTAATTGTTTGGGGAACAAAAGCCAGCAGATCAAATTGTTCCTTTTCTTGTACTTGTATGTGCAGGACAGACAGTGACAGTGTTTTTTGCTTTCAATATGTATAATACAGTAGAAGCAGAGGTATACGGTGTGTATGTCCACAAAGTTTCACAACACTGGCAATATTTTCCAAGTCCATGCGTTCCGCAATAGTTTGAGGCCGCTGGATCACATCCAAGCTACAAACCATGTGCTTACAGGCGGTGGCCCGAGCCACTGAAGTAATCGCCTGAGAGTTGCTTGGCCAAACATGCCCATTTACATGCATTCATTTGCGAGGTATCTTCCAAAAGGAGACCTGTCGCAGCTGCGTGGCCTTGCGGTCGACATGAAAAGAAGGAGCCCTTCTTGACCAAGAATTGTTGTTTTGTACATCAAATTATCAAAAGGAATAGATTATCATAATTACTGCATTTGTGCCCAATATATATATATATATCTTTTTGGCATTTGCCTTTGGCTGGGCAGAATCCTGCAAAAAATCCCTGGAAGGTACCTTCAGCAGCTCCCTGACCTCCCTAATGCGGGAATCCCAAGTAGAATGAAACAGTTTCAAAATTAGAAGCACTAAGTTTGCTATTGTTGCTGGAGTTCTGAGGTTACGAAAGTTAAAGCAGCCATATCAGATCGTGAAATTGTGCTGCCCATGCACCTTGACAGGAGGATTTTACGTGTGAGCCATCCTGACTGAGGAAAACGATTCACATGAGCCCCTTTGAATAGCCAGGCATCATGTCAAACTCGCAGACATCGAGCACTGGGAGCGGATTTTCGCAACTCAAGGCCGGGTGACGAGCCACTTTGGGGTCAAAAACTTCACACAAATATGAAGATGAAGTGGTTGCGTTTATATGCTGTGCACTGCTGCCATTTAGCACATTGGATAATGGTTGCATTGGTGTGCAGATCTCGTGTAATTTCAGTAGACAAAGCCACAGAAATGCTAATTGATCATGGCACAGCAGCGCAAAAGATCCATGAGCAGCTAGTGAACAATGCTCTCAAGCCGGGAGAAGCATAAGGGGGAGAAAGAATCAGAGCAATGGCCCTGAACTTGCCTGAAGCTGCCGAAGACGCTGCTGGCCCCAATTCGTCCGCAGCGTATGGCACCAAAGAGACAGAGAAGGACTGTGCCACTGTCTTTTCTCAGAGTTTGTCAACTAATTATATAAACCCTGTGCCAAAAGAAAAGGACAGAAAAGAGGAAGCAGAAGCAGAAGTTCCGTCAACCCCTCAGCCTTTCCCAAATTGATTCGGGAGGGATTGCGAACTACAGTTTTGGTCGCATGCAGTATGAAACTTCCTGGCTTTGGACCCTTTGGGGCGGGACGGTGCAGTGTCTCAGGCTTTTCTGCCATGTTAAGTTGTATGTGTTTCCACCTCTGAGAGAAGCTGCCGCCTCCACACCGCTAGTGAAGTACTGAGCTTTTACTGACAGAGTTTTAGGGTGTTGTAGGTAATTGACGCTGAGACATTTTCATTCGGAGGTTGTTCGAGGTAGCAGGGTTGTACTTCTTCATCACTGGTGAAGCAGTGTATCAATATTCTAACTGATGATTCTAGCGCGGCTGCATCAACCACGTCTTGAGATGTCTTGATATAGGGTCAATTATGGTCAATTCGAGATAACTGGAGCAATGCTAGGAGTTCCTCCATCCTCGCTGAAACATTCCAGTTTCCGAATTCAGGGTGGCCGAGAAGGATGGTCACAGAATCTCGCAGTTCCAGAATCCTGAGGCCACCTCCTTTGGGTTCCTGGGGCGGAGCGTTTGCTGGAGTCCTGAACGGGAAGGGTGGAAGGACGGAGCAAGTTGGACAGAATTCTTTCAAACTCACCTACAATATAAGCATGTCTGACTTTGAAAGCAAGTTAAAGCTTGATTACCGTTGAAAAAACATCGTGGTGCAGTGTGTTATTGTCACAGGAGACGTCACTCCGGAGCTCCATTGCAGCATCATCGGCATGTTTGGTTTCTTGTGCAACAGACTTCCATGTTAGGAATGTCACTAGAAAGTGCTTGTACTTTCGATGCCAGGACAATTTTGGGCTCTATGCGCTGTGCAGTTTTCGGATGTAATTGTGAATAGCAGCAGTGTCGAAAAAGCGGACGAAAGCAGTTCCGATGCGTTTGCTCGTTTGCTCTTCTGATCCTGTGCTTTTCATGCCCAACAACTCGGCTGTTGAGTCGTTGTGTGCAGGGAACTATAGAGGCTTCCGGCTGATACGCCTTGCACGAGGCTGGCAGGGCCTGACACATGCAATTTCAATGCAAGCTGACTGACTTGGCATCCAGTGTGATCGCAAGCAAAGCCCAGCCACAATAGTCACAAACTCACAGAAGATGAGACAAGGTGAAAGATGAAAGATCACCAGAAATTGCTGAATAGATGGGTGGTCTATTCATTTGTCAATGTGTTGCTGTTCCTTTCGAGGCTGCAGCGCACTGGGCCGGCACAAGGTATTGTCACATGCCCTCGGTTCTGGTCTCAGAACAACTTGTTGCAGTTCTGTGATGTTTAATGATATTCAGATTTTTTGCACTCCTGGAGCCCTGGTTCACATTAGGACTTCTGGGACTGCGGCATCTTATCCGAGTAAGGCAGCAGTTCGGTCAGCTGGAAGTTCATCAGAGCGAGGAGGTAGAAAAACGTAAAAGGTGAGAAAGCAAGACACAATAAGACAAGTCTGATATCCACATGCAGGGCAAGCGTTTGCTACGTAGCTGTGTGGCCCAAGTTTGAGACTTCCACAAGTCTGTACGGATTTCTCGCGCAACATGGAGGCTGGACAGTAGCATGCGGCATGACCGTGAGTGATGGCAAAGTCGTCAAGCCCATTGCAGCAACACTGGATGAAACCATCCATCGAGTGTTTGTTTCGGAACGGTCTTTGAGTCTTTAAGTGGCGTCAAGGACGTGGAAACCAGCTATGCGGCATTGGCACGCGACTCTTTGAAAGCCTTTTGCCGGCATGTTGACAGACTAGACACCAAAAGCACACCAAATCTGGAACGAGATGATGAACTGAACCTTGGAATACTTCAAGAACCCTAAAGTTTACGCTTCTTACTCTGTTCCAACATGAC